CGCCACAAAAAAAAAAAAAAAAAAAAAAAAAAAAAAAAAAAAAAAAAAGCCAACGAAGGCGCAGAGAGGTTAAATATTTTGCCAACGATGATAGAACAGGATGACAGGCTCAGCCCGCAGATGACTAATGGGTAACTAAACTCAGGGTTCTCTGCATTCCTTTTAGTTCTTTTTTACCTTAAAACTTTGGGACAGAGCCCTGCCTAGCTGTATGAGGCAGGTTAATCACTTGGGAAGTGTCCTGTTACAAGGTTTATTAGCCCTGAATTTATGGAACGCATCTCATTTCCCTTCAAGGCAGGAAGACATCACAGTAAGAGTAACTGAGGTGATTTTCAGGTTTTGCAAGGACATGTGATTGTCAATGTTTGGGCTATTCAGCCACTGTCTTAAACCTGTAGCCACCTCGGATTCCAGGAACAGCAGACTCTGGTTTGCCACCCCATGTGGGAATTATTACCCAAGCAGGAATAACCATCCCGTGCCATGAACTGAGGTCACTTCCAAAGAAGGAGCCTTCATCCCATGATGGGAACCAGTGATCTCTCAGGACGATGGATCTCCTATACCTCACAGAACCAGTCCTGAGATACCAGTCAGCCACTTCGGGATTTAATCAAGATTACCTACACTTCCCCAACTCTCAACTTCGTTCCCTTTTCTATAATCCCCAAAGTTGTCAGCTCTTTCCAAAACAGATCTTGAATCTCTTTATCAGTGTTTCCCAGTACGGCCATGTTGATTAAAACTGGTGTTGTGGGACAGATGGCGGAGTCCCGTCTGTTGGGACCCCAGGACTAGCTTTTGCCCCAAATCTGCTGTACCAGAAATGGAGAGATCTGGATTGACAAGCAGCTAAAATGAACCCGCAACCCATGCTCTTACAATACCGTGTACCATTTTTTCATTATAAAAAAGTCTCAGAGAAATTTTTGATCCCAAATATTGCCTCATCCATCGGATCCCGTGAATCTTTATCACCCAGGACTGAAGCCCACACATGCGCCGTCCAGGTCCAGGCTCGCGGGTGCAGCCCGGGAGCCCAGATCCGACACACGTGGTCGGCGCGGGCACGCGAGCCCTCCCGGCGCCCCCGGGGACCCGGCTGATGAAACGCG